TATATATATATTATATGTTGTGTGTGTGTGTGTATATATATATATATATATATATATATATATATATATATATATATATATATATATATATTTCTATATATATATATATGTATATAACAGTTAATAAATAGTAAACACATCTGTGGGTGCTACTTCACTGGGCACTACTCTACAGCACATACAGAGTTTTTCATATTTGATCATTTACATATATACACCAGTGCAACGGACAGTTAATAAAGAGCAAACACATATATGTATGCTATTTTACTGGGTACTAAGCTGCAGCACATACAAAGCCTGTTGTACCTCTGTGGTTGGTATTGTATCTGTGGTGGTGTGGGGTGTCGAACAACTTAGATCACATACATTAGAGAGTCGACATTTGGCATGTGGTTGGTATCGGAACCCTCATGGTATGGGACGCCTAATAGGTAAAAGCTCAAACAACAGCCTAAACCCTAAAAATCTAAAACCCTAAAATGTATTGTGGTTGGTATTGTACCCCTAATAGAGTGGGGTGTTTAATAAAAAAACAAGCACATCCGTGTGTGTTATGTAACAAAGGGTGCGACTCCGTCTGCAACAGACATGTGGTTTGTACTGTATTCCTGGTGGAGTGGGATATTGAATAAATACTAAGCACAGACATCGTAGCCTTTACACCGCTGGTATATATATATATGTCTATATATACATATATATATACATATATCCCTAATAAAGCGGAGTGTGTGCCCAAATACAGTGCACATTCATATCACCCGCAATGCTCGAGCTATTCCAGTTCGAGAAGAGCCATCATACTGCGTGTGGCTGGTGCGTACGCTGGTAGCGGCCGCTCCGGTGATAATGGCGCAAAAACTAACGGCTGAGTCTCTCCGTTGTCTCTCTGGGTCGAGAGCGTATTATGCGCACTCGACGGATCGCCATAGATAACGCCTTTGTTGCTTTTGTGTGTATGGTGTGTATTTGTATGGTTGCCATGGTTACCCTCTGTACTCCGTTGGCAGTTCGGTACGTCGTGCTTTTGGGTATTGGCTTGAGCAGGGATGTGTGGTAGTCCCAGGTACACCTCGTCGTGCAGAGCGAGGTGTGTCGTGGATACCTTTTCGCTGTGTTTGGGTTTCTCCGCCCACTTGTGTTGGACCTCTTTTCGGTTGTGGGTGTCTTGTTCTCCCTCGTGATGGGTACGGAATAACTCTTTGGCATCACTAGGGTCGGGCTTCTTTGGGGTTTGTCGGTGGTGATGCGATGGCTGCTCCAAGCTAAACGTGTCTGTGTGTGGCGTATAATGAGAATGCAGTAGATTGTTGAGACGTTGTGACCAGACGGACCCTAGCTATAATATAACGGATACCAGCTACAATATAACTATTAGGTATACGCGTTCAGCTGAACCCATGCAGATCCTGTACATCCAGGCGTGCAGGTTCTTCGTGTAAGTGCTGTGTGTGATTCATAGGATTTAGGGGTTATAGTGGGTGTGCGTTTCCCTATTCGTGCCACTGTACACACACATGCGTTGGGTGTGTCGATGTGTACCCATTTTTGCCGTTTGAGCGTAGAGGGCGCATCAGCCACCCCCGGCCAATATCCGAGTCCGTATACGTACACACAAGAAAGGCCTATATCATGACTATGTTAACTGATATGCATCTTTCTTCCCAGCGTGCACAGGTGGACGCCGACGTTTGTATTGTAGGTCACCCACTCCAGGCAACAGTCATCTACTTCAAAAGCCACAAACATATGCATAGGGTTTTAGGGTTATAACAATGGTTCACCAAGGCCAATACATAGACACACGCATCGCACACAGACACTCACCCCCCTGTGGCGCGTGTAGCAGTCGTCGCTTCCTCTCACTGGCAGTGTTCACCAACACCTCACTCTCCAGTGGTGTGCTGCCCGTAGTATCGTCTTCTCTCGGCCAGATAGCCATGATTATAGTATCCGCAGGGCAGGCGTGTCCCTGAGAGGTCCGTCTTGCGTCTCTGTATCTCTGTGCTTCTATACAGTCTAGTTCTCGCAGTCGATCAGCGTGTTGTTGAGCGAGATATTCCATCTGAACTCTTTGGGGAGCGAAGCGTGTGCAGTGAGTGTGTACGGTTAATGCACGTGTGCTACGTACAGCAGTACAACCGACATCTCTGCACGTATACATGTACACGTATGTGCGTAGGGAGAACGCGCAATCGATGGTGTATGTGCGTGTTACAACATCATAGACATGACATGACAGATACACAGATCAGAGACATATCTCATGGGACGCCATGTACAAATACTCACGAAATGTACTATAGGTTGAATTAGTGATAGGCAACCTAAACTACACCACCACCCATCTAAAACACCCTACGTGCGATAGGAGACAGAGACGATGGATTCATAATGCACTCGTGTGCCAATAACATTGACAAAGGAGACGCTACTGCTGAATTTGTTATAGAATATATCACCTTTAAGAGAAAAACAAGATAAATACAACCACATACATATATGTGTATACACAAACTCAATATATATATATATGTGTGTGTTTATACATATATATATATATACATATACATCAATGCAAACTTAATCTCGCCTGCATGCGTGGTAGCTTGACACTGGTGAGATGACTATATACACTATATTCCATCCCTGAACTAACATTAGGCAGTTTTCGCACACACCTTAGTAGCTGTACATCATGTGACATAGTTTTACTCCTCTTGATCTGGGCTGCATACTGCTTGCTGGTGGCCGTCAATGAGCTTGTGAGAGCCTGCAGTCTCAGCTGTTGTGAGGATTGGCGGGAAAAAACTGTAAACTTCAGAAATCGCACTAAAACGTTCGATGTATGGACATCAGCATAGGCTATTTATAGTTTAATATAGGTTCATCAACGCTATGGGAGTGACATGACTCATCAACGTTATGTGGGTGTCATGTCTGGTGGGGTAGATTCGATAACCTAATTCAGTTCTACTTAATTCCATGTGATTCTATCAGCCTTAACGCCGCGTAATTCGATATGACTCCACCCTCACTATGTGTGCAAAAGCGGTCATAAATTATAGACGTTGCCTAGGATGGTGCGTCTCTGTGTAATCAACACACAAATGATACGCTTAAGTAGCTGAGATGACACATGCGCGTAGTCCATACATATATAAAGCACGCGGGTAGATTGAAAGGGTATGTCGTTAATACTGTACCGTACTAGTCGGCATTTGACAATCATGAGACTTCCACAATTCAGTATGAGATTGTGTGGTCATTTAGAGCTGCATTATCATGTCACCGTTGGTGAATGAAGAGTATGAGTTACAGAGTGTCCGTATCGCCTCACAACATGGTTGGCATTTCAATTACACTTGATATTCATACATCAGAAAAGACCTCAACAAATGGCGGTGTTGTAGTGCATCAAGTATACGCATGCACAAGGGCTACAAACTAATAACACACACACAAGCACAAACATGTACGGGCTGATGTGTTTACTATGTACAAGCATACGGTGCCTGTCAGTATATAGTACGCATCAACCAGACCAATACAATCCTTATGACCTAACTCGCATTAGTGTGTGCACACCAACGTTCGTAGAGCCTCGTATTTATATACAATCAGCAACAACTATTAACCTACGAGTCTAGTTCTAATTGTTAGCAGCGGCCTCAGTACTGCGTGCGAAACTAATATATTGCCAAATACCTTTTACTATTCGTCAGTGAGATCCACTACACGTACCTGAGATAACTTCAGAGCCTTCGTATCTGTTTCGTCTGCTATTGTCTTATTGTTGAGGACGTGCTTTAGTGCCACACGTTGTTGGGTCATGGCTGCTTCTAGCCGCACATGCGCTGCATCCTTCTTGGGCTCCATACTTACTACAATGCAAACTTCTCAGAGCAACAGGGTGTGTGTTGGTAATTTTATATTCATTTATACTTCGGGTCACCGAAGCTCACTCGTACTTTCAATCCAGAAGACCTGCTCGAGGTAATCTTGTCTTGGTGGCTAGTACTATCGATAGGTGAAAGACATGTGTACACAAACAAGTACAGCCCTCTATAATCACATCCTTCAACAGTCTTCGTGTCTGTGAGATATGCCGTCTTGATTCTATATATGAGATTTAGAAAGAATAAAGGCCGGGTAATGTAGCTGGTAACTTGCTATTAAAAGCTGTTGAGAGTGTAACTGCATATCATATGACATGTGTATGTTGTATTTGTGCACAACTACTCTATAAATACATACTGTACCGTATCCATAGAGACAGAGATTAGAGAACGCTGCCACAACAATGTTGGGTTTTTGGCCAACAGCTTTTTTTTCTTCTCTAAAAAACAAAATATAAAACAAACAACTGTGTGGAAATTCTGGGGAGGGTCTTTTACACTACATATGTACATACATATTTATGTTTGCTTTATTTTTATAAAATTAAAGAAAAAAATGCATTTTGTATGAATAATTTGGCTTTTATTCTTTTTTCTGAATGAATGATGTTTTGGCTTTTTCTCTCATGCATTTCCATAGCCTTCTAAATTGAAACAACATTTGGCTTTTTTTTCTCGTTCGGTTTTTTATAGAAAGAGCCGGTGACGTTAACTGATAGAGCGATGCGCATAGCAAATTAAAGAACAGAACAGCTGTGTTCAATTTTCAGGCGGCTATGAGCTGTGGCATTTTGGCTTTCTGTTGCCACATTCGAAAATGAGTAAATAGTATGACTGTTATGCTGAGAATAATGGAGATTATTATTCATTCATGATACATACGAACAATCGCATTAATAATTGCTGATTGCTGATTGCTGATTGATGATTGCTCACAGAGTCACAGCCTCAAGTACTTGAAGATCGAGGTTGATAGACGAATATGACAGGTCTATTGATGGCACTCCTACATCACCCAAATATATGAATAGTATGAAAGTTATTGATAGTATTTAGTCGACCAGCGCTTTGACTCATAGGTATACAGACGTCACATCGTACACATATTTCATCATCAAAAGACTTATGGACAGTTCACCAACGCCTCGTAATAACATCGATTAGATATGTCGAAAACAGTAGGCCACTCGCCTGCCCAGAAAAATTTGCCGTTCGAGAACAGCTATGCACCGAATCGACCTTTGAGCCGTGCTTTCAGTCAAAGAGGCTCTATGTCGTTGATTGACGAGGTAGAATACAGATTTGACCAATTGTATACATCTGGCTTGTTTATTGATTGTTTATGAACATATTTTTATTGTGTGTGACATACATACATGCTTATATA